TGTGAAGTCAACTTTTGTCAACTTTTCGCTGACACCCCCGCCCCTCCCCCTCTGGGATGACGTCATATTTTGCGCACGGTCCCCAGGCCCCAGACCTTTACAATGTGGACTTATTTCTCTACCCCTGTTGAGTGACCACGTAAGGTAGAAAGCAAGGTAAACGGCCATCTATAATACCGTATGTGGAATAACAATACACAAACTGGGAAGGCACTCATAGCCCAACATGTTGACTGCAATATCATTTGCATGTGCACGAGAAATTATATTTAGTCATAATTTCAATTCTGAATGTTCGAAGAAAAAAGTGAGAAAGGATACCTAAAGCAGGTACAATTGTTTTTAAAAAATATAATAAATTCTTCTCTGGCTTCAGAAAAAATGCTTTCTGGGCTATGGACATTAGCTCAGCTTGCCAGGGATATGTTCGGAAGATAACAATAGCTTACTGATGGACAAACGTGTGTCTTGAGCGACAAACAATCTTAAAGTTCAGCAGGCCAGAGGTGACGTGGTTGTACATTATTAGGTCGACTCCCTGAGGGAGCTACCTTTGACGTAAGCAAGACCAACGTGTCCTTCACTTCTTCTATTTCTGTCAGACATATAGCGTCCTCATCTCTCCTTCTCTTCTATCAAACATCTTGCGTTCTTATCTCTCCTCCTTTTCATCTTTGATTACGCCCAAGATCTTGTTAAAGTGTCGTAAAACCTCTAACCAAAATTAAGTAAATGAACATGTCCCCTTTTTATGTTTGAGGGCTACCACAATAATATAAGATATCTTTTAAATTCTCTTGTTTGGACTCCCTTTGTTACCCACCTCCTTAATTGCTTGCAGGTTCCCCGCCCCCAGATTCTCACCTGAATTGCATTTTCAGATTTTCTCTCACTGACGTGTTTCGAAGGCACACCGATGCACTGTTTGTCACACCGCTCTTCTCCTTCACCTCGAAAAATAATTGTGTGAAATGTTTCCCCGTCACCGTCACCATTGACGCCATCGCTCATCGCCACGCAAGGAAACACGTGTGAGACTCTTAGTGTGTGTGTGTGTGTGTGTGTGTGTGTGTGTGTGTTTGTGTGTA